CCGTGCGCCCTTCGAGGGCTCGTCCCGCCTGGCCAAGGCGCTGGCCGACGACGTGGACTTCTGCTGCTTCCAGTTCTCCGACTTCGGGAAGGGGCTGATCAAGAAGTGCCGGACCAGCCCCGACGCCTTCATCCAGCTCTCCCTGCAGCTCGCCCACTTCCGCGTGAGCCGGGCGGGACGGGGACGGGACGGGATGGGAACGGGATAGGGACATGGGGATGGGGATATGGGGACGGGGACAGGAGTGGGGAGAGGGATATGGGGACATGGGGATGAGGACAGGGACAAGGATGGCAACATGAGGACAGGAATGGGGACATGGGGACAAGAATGAGGATGTGGGGATGGGGACAGAGACATGGGGCTGGGGACACGGGGACAGGGATGGGGTCATGGGGATGGGGATGGGATGGGGACAGGGATGGGGACATGGGGACAGGGATGGGGACATGGGGCTGAGGACAGGAATGAGGACAGGGACAAGGATGCGGACATGGGGCTGGGGACACAGGGACAGAGATGGGGACATAGGGATGGGGACAGGGACGAGGATGAGGACATGGGGTTGGTGATGTGGGGGTGGGGACAGGGACAAGGATGGCAACATGAAGACACAGATGGGGACATGTGGATGGGGACAGGGATGGTGATGTGGGGAATGGGGCCAGGGATGGGGACAGGATGGGGACAGGGACAGCATCCCCCAGGCACACCCCGGTCTGACGGGGCCTCTCGGCAGGACAAGGGCTGCTTCTGCCTCACCTACGAGGCCTCCATGACGCGGCTCTTCCGCGAGGGCCGGACGGAGACGGTGAGGTCCTGCACCGCCGAGTCCACCGCCTTCGTGCGCAGCATGGGGGACACGCGGCAGACCGTGAGCGATGCGCCAGGGTCCGGGCCTGCAGCCCCCCAACCCTCCATCCTGGACCTCCCCTCTGAGCCCTCGGCTCCGTCCTGCTGTCCCCGGCCGGGTCGGGGCTGTCCCTGCACGGCCTGGCTCAGCCAGCACCTCCCCTCTCTCTGGTGGTCCCATCCCTTGGGGAGGGCCCCGTCCCTCATAGAGGTCCCTGTCACTAGGGGAGGTCCCTATGGCTCATAGCGGTCCTCATCCCTCGGGGAGGTCCCCGTCTCTGGGAGAGGTCCCTATTCCTTGGGAATGACCCTGTCCTTGGAGAAAGTGCCCATCTCTGGAGGAGGTCCCCATCCCTCATGAAGATCTCTATCTCTCATGGAGGTCTCCATCTCTTGAGGAGGTCCCTGTTCCTTGGGGACATCCTCATCCCTAGAGAAGCTGCCCACCTCCGGAAGAGGTCCCCATCCCTCATGGAGGCCCCTATCCCTCAGGGAGGTCCTTATCTCTTGGGGAGGTCCCCATCTCCTGGGGAATGTCCCTATTCCTTGGGGACATCCTCATCCCTGGAAAAAAATGCCGACTTCTGGAGGAGTCCCTGCCCCTGTGGAGGTCCCCATCCCTCAGGGACATCCCTGACCCCATCCCTGGGGACCGTCTCCCCCCCGGAGCTGTGCAGCCGTTGCCTCCCCTGGGGCAGGGCCAGGGAGCCCTCGCCCTGTGCAGAGCACCGGGGGT